TAACTACCCACCTGGCACTTAATTAAGGGTTTTTATCCCCTCCCTAACTTCAGGGAAAAATCCCTACCTGGGGAAACAACCTTTCTTGGAGAGGTGACCTTGGTTAAAACACATAGCACCAAGAAGGTGAGCAAACATATTAAGAACAGTATGCCATATATGCCAGGTCCCTTGAAACAGCAAGGATGGACTGGCTCCCGGCAAATTCCCCCTTTTTTATTTTTTAAATGATAGCGTATGTAAATCAGCGGCCACCTCTCGGATTGGGTTGTTTAAGACTCAGAAGTCTGACAAGCAATGATAGTGAGCATAGCTATAAATATAGTGGATGGAGTGCACAAGGAGCCCTGTTCCTGTAGAAGGTTGCTGGCCTCTTTAGTCAAGGGATTTCAGCTGTCCTCAAGTTGGTGGTTTGGTTGTCCTTGTTGATCTGGCTAGCGGGCAGCGTCATTGGCGATGGGCTTCCCAAAGCGTCAGCGAGTTGAAGGGCTGCATCAAAGAGTCCATCAGGGCCGGGCTTGATTGTGGTGTCGGTGTCCGGGGAGGAGTCAGCTGTGCTCTCTAGGGGTCCCTGTTTGGGGCGCCAGAGGCTGGGGTCCAACCACAGCAGGTCCAGGGGTCCCCAAAGGTGTGGACAGAGTCGGCGAAGAAGGAATGACATGGAGACACCCTTCAGTTGATCAGCAGCCTAGCCAGGATCTCTATCCAGGATCTCCAGCCAAGTTCTGTCCAAGATCTCCAGCCAAGTTCTGTGTACAGGTTCTCTTGCTAAGTTCTCCAGCCAGGTTCTCCAGGTTCTCCAGCCAGGTTCTATCCAGTTTCTCCTGCCATGTTCTGTCTAGGTTCTCCAGCCAAGTTCTGTAGCCAGGTTCTGTCCAGGATCTTTTGTCATGTTCTCTCCCTAGGTTCTGTCTCTAGGTTCTGTCTAGGTTCTCCAGCCAAGTCCTGTCACTAGGTTCTCTTCCTAGGTTCTGTCTGTAGGTTCTTCAGCTAGGTTCTCTGGCTAGGTTCTGTTTCTGGGTTCTGAGTCTAGGTTCTGTGTAGGTTCTCCAGCCAAGTCTGGTTAGGAACTGATGAGGATCTGATGTTTATTGTCTTGTTACATCTATATTTATACCAGCGGATTTTAATCCTGTCAATTTCTATTACAAAGGTTAGGGGCGTTTCTTATCTCCATTCCAGGGAGTAAAGATTATGTAGCTTAACTACCCACCTGGCACTTAATTAAGGGTTTTTATCCCCTCCCTAACTTCAGGGAAAAATCCCTACCTGGGGAAACAACCTTTCTTGGAGAGGTGACCTTGGTTAAAACACATAGCACCAAGAAGGTGAGCAAACATATTAAGAACAGTATGCCATATATGCCAGGTCCCTTGAAACAGCAAGGATGGACTGGCTCCCGGCACCAACCAACTCAGACTCCCAAGGTCATAGGTTGTGCACCTCTCCCCCGCCCCCTTAGACACATCTTACTTGTTCCAACCGGATTCAAGGCTTGGGAATTCCATCTATGAAGTCCAATCTCCAATTTTTTTCCCCAAAACTAAAGCACAGCACCCTCTCTTTGCAAGACTTTCTAACCCCTTACGCATGTACACATGCGCAAATGCATATATAGTCACACACATATGCATGCATATACCCACTGCTGGACTCACCCACTAATGCAGACCTCCTTTCATACAATCACTCACATACCCATACAACACACTTGTGCACATCCCCCAAATCATGCACATGCATGTATTTGTCCATGTATGCAACAGACACATGCATAAGTACACATGGACACATATGCCAACACAGCCACTCTTAAAGGCAGCCACTGAGCAGGGCCCATACTCCTGACAGGGCAGGAATTTTGGGGTGTTACCTCTCAGAGAATGCTGGTGTTAATAGCTCCAAGTGCTGGTCTTGTTAAATCTGAACTCCAGCTCCCCTTAAATAGCTGCCCCCTAGGGAAGGATGGGAGTTGGTGGGTATGCAAAAGGGGTGGGAGTGCCTCCAGTGAGTGGACTCAAAGTTTGGCATGCCTATAGCCCTGGGCAATCCCCTTTTCTTCCCCTCAGTAGCTGGCAGGACAGAGCTGAGGATGGAAAACAGTATGTGCTGTTAGCGGATGCCAAAATTGTAGATTATTTTGTAATCTTTCCCAGGGGCCTCATTCCTGACTTCAGTCCATTCCCGTAACCAGGCGCTGGGTGTGAGCACCAGTCCCCTCCCTGGAACCAGGGTCAGGAGAGAGCAGGGGCGTCTGCTGCTGCAGGCTATGGTGCCGGAAGCTGGTCCATCCCTTGCTGCTTGACACAGTCGCTGCAGGAAAGAAACATCTGCATAGCATATGTTTCAATGGACCTGGCGTATATAGCATACTGTTCTTAATATGTTTGCTCCCTTTAGCGCCACGTGTTTTAACCAAGGTCACCTCACCGAGAAAGGTTGTTTCCCCACGTGGGGATTTTTCCCTGAGGTTAGGGAGGGGATACAACCCCTTAATTAAGTGCCAGGCGGGTAGTTAAGCTACATAATCTTTACTCCCTGGAATGGAGATAAGAAACGCCCTAACCTTTGTAATAGAAATTGACAGGATTAAAATTGGCTGGTATAAATATAGATGTAACAAGACAATAAAGATTAGATCCTCATCAGATCCTCCTCAGATCCTCCTCAGTTCCTAACCAGAACTCCGACCAGAACTTTGGCTGGAGATCCTGGCTAGAGGTCCTGACTAGGCTGCTGATCAACTGAAGGCTGTCTCCGTGTCATTCCTTCTTCACCGACTCCGTCCACACCTTGGGGGACCCCTGGACCCGCTGGGATTGGACCCCAGCACTATGGCTCATCTGCAAGCCAGCAGGCCATCGCTGGGGCGAGGATTGCTCCATTTTTTGGCTGAATGTGGCATTTGGTATAGGAATGGGGGCATTTAGAAAAAGGAGGGCATTTATTGTTATTCATTCATTCACCGGGTGTACACACTCAACCTCTAGAAAATACCAGGATCCATGTGAGTTTCTGCGGGAGGTGGTGGGGATGTGAGGACTTGTCCTGCCCCCCATCCTCCACCCCACCCGGGGCCCCAACAAGGGAAGGCCTGCAGTGAAGCAGATGGTCCCTTCCTATTGGGCCAGCACGTCCACCTTCTCTTCGTGCTCTTCTTTCTTTTTCTTCTTCTCCTCTTCCTCATCCTCCCCTTCTGGAAAAAGCCAGAGCCTGCCCTGGAGTTCACCCTAAAGCGCTGCCTCCACCTTACCCCAGTCCTCACTCACCTTGTCCACTGACAGAACTGATGACTGCTTCCCAGGTCTATTGTTCTTTCTTCTTTACCCGTCAGGGACATGGGTGACTCCAGCTTTAATTCCTAAAGCAAATACCTTCTCCCCGGCCGTTCAAGACATGCTCAGCATTGAGCTTCCAGGGCCTTCGGTAAACCCTCCCTGACACCAGCCCCAAAACAGCCAGCGTGGCTGAGGCCAGAGCTCCTAAACACTCCACCTGTGCCCCCTTCCCCAGGTGCCCCTCCAGGTGCGCAGGCCCAGGGGACTGGCTCCAGTGAGAGCACCTGAGCATTGGTGCCGAGGGGCCTTTCCCTGTCCCTCGTGGTGGGACCAGAAGCAGGGCAGCAGGTTGGATCCCCGAGTCAGGGCCTGGAGAACACCCGCCCGGGAGAGACCCACAGACCCTCATGGGACTTAGGGAGAAGGACGTGTTGGTTTCAGTCACTGGTCACTGAGGCTGGTAGTGACTGCAGCATAAGCTCGTCTGTGCTAACACCTTCGAGGCAGCGTTCACCTCGGAGATGCAATGTAGTTCCAACACTAGGCCTGTGTGAGGGTGAACTGAGTCCCGGGCCAAGTCCTGTGTGGAAGTCCTAACTTCCAGTATCTCGGAGTGTAACCTTATTTGAAAACAGGGCCTTTAAGATGTGATTAGTTAAGATAAAGTACTGGTGTCCCTACAAAAAGGGAAAATTTGGACACAGACACACTCAGCGAGGACACCATGTGAAGATGTCGGCTGAGGTCTTCGATGCTTCTATAAGCCAAGAAACCCTGAAGGTGGCGGGAAACCCCAGCGGCTAGGGGAGAAAATGGAACAGATTCTCTCTCAGGGCCCTCCCTCCCGAGGAACCGGCCACACCTGGACCTTGATCTCAGACTTCTGGCCTCAGGAACGATGAAACAATACATCTGCCATTTAAGCCCCTCAGCTGGTGGGACTTGTGCCTAGCAGACCCATCACCCTCCAGGGATCGCTGTCTGCCTGGCATTTTCGCTCTCAGAGCTGTTTGCTTTAGCCTTGACAGTCAAGGTTCAGAGGGGAGGGGCTAGAGTAGACTTTGGTCTTTTGTTAAGCACCGCAGTTTTTGGAACATGGTCATGTCTACAATAGGCAAACTGCCTCCCTGACAGTCCTGATCCTGGAGCGCCCTGACACTGCGTCCAGGCCACAGCACTCACGGACTCTGCTGGCCGCCCACGTGGCTGCTCTTGTCCCATCTTCTCAGGGTTTCCCCCACAAGAATTCGAAGTCCATGATTTGGTCTCTTGACAGCCTCCTTCACCCAAGGACTAATTTAAGCACTTGGAGTACATCAGTGGACAAACAAACACCAGTATTCAAGGTGCACCTTTTTAGTGGAGAGGGACAAAGAATAAACAAAAGACAGGAAAAATAAATTATATAGCCTGTTCGGTGGGGATCATGCAATGAACAGAAGCAATAGAGATGGAGAAGGCGTGGCAAGAGGGAGTGGGTGAATGTGGGTTGCAATTTTACGTAGGGTGGACCTTCTCTGATGGAAAGTGCTTTCAGTATCATAAGTGTTCAGAAAAGTTTTAAAAAATATATATTTTATTGATTTTTCACAGAGAGGAGGGGAGAGGGACAGAGAGTCAGAAACATTGATGAGAGAAGAACATCGATCAGCTGCCTCCTGCACACCTCCTACTGGGGATATGCCCACAACCAAGGCACATGCCCTTGGCTGGAATCAAACCTGGGACCTTTCAGTCTGCAGGCTGAGGCTCTATCCACTGAGCCAAACCAGCTAGGACAAAGACTCAGCCTTTTGTCAATGGTTCTTTTTTGTCTTAGGATTATGGCTGAATTTTTTTCTACTACTATTTCCTATTTTGTGTATGAGGAAAAATAACTTATTTCTCTCTCTTAAAAAAAAAATCAAACCACCTTATTTTGAAACACACTTACACTTACAGAAAAGTTGCAGTGGGACATGCCTGTATTCCCCGGGAATCCCAGCTTCCCTGGATGTTAACACCCCACATGTAGCCACGGTACAATGATAGAAACCAGCAAGCAGACACTATTACTCATCTACAGACCTTATTGGAAAAAAAAAAAAGACAGGCCGCAGTTGGCCAATTCCTGGATGAGACTATATTGTCTAACATTTGGTGGTTGTCTGAGGAGGGGAATGTGTTTGCTGATGCTCACTTTCTTTTGAATAGGAAATACAAGCATGGGGCTAAGAATTACACATCGAGGAACCTTCCTCTCACGCATCTGTGCCCACCCCATTCCCATGCTCGCCCTGCTTTCTCTCCGTAGGCAGCCATTCTAATGAACTTCTTGTGTGTCCTTTAAGGTGTATGGCAATAGCAACACATACGTGTTCACACTTCCAACCTTTCCTACATAAATGCAGCCCCCCACCCCCGACGCTGCCCTTCACCCCATTCCTTTCCCTGGCTGCCCTCATGGCGGTTTCCTATCTGCCACAGAGAAAGCCGCCCTCCCTAAACAGACACATTCCATTTTGAGGTCGTCATTGCTTATTTCATTAGTCCGCTGTACACGGATACTTGGGTTATTTCCAATCCAATTCAGAATAATGTGGGAATGAAAAAATTCCCCAGGAATTGCTCTGCATGTGCCTGTGTGCCTTCGTAGAGCAAATTTCTAGAAGAGGGGTCGCCGAGCCAAAGGATGAACACACTCATAATGTGGATGGAGACGCCGATTGGCCCTCCGAGGGCATTTTGCCCTCCCACAGCGCCTGTCCCCCCCCACAGCCTTGTCGACAGGGCAGGCTGTCATGCTTTTGGATTTTTATCTATTCTGATACATACAAATGATATTTCAGTGGAGTTTTAATGTGCATTTCTCTTATTATGGGTGCCCGTGGACAGGAGCAGGGCTCCCGCCAGCAAAGGAAGCGTCTTTATGCCGAATTAGAAAAAGGCAGCCCTTCTGGGAGATGAGTGACAGAAGGTACCGCCTCTGAATCACACCTGGGTTAAAGCCCAGCTCGCACCCACGCCCCAAGCAGGGACCCACGCCCAGCCACCCTGATGGTGATTGTTCAAGTAGCAGGCCCAGGTGCGACTATCCCGGCGGAACCTGGGTGACGGGAGGGCAAGTAGCAACCAGCAGTCATTTATGGGTCTCAGTGTGGAATAAAAAGCGGGGCCCTAGGTTATGCTGAATTTCAAGGTGGCTGGGACACAGCATGCAATGAGGTGCGATGCCCTTCTGAGCACGGGCCTGCGGGACTGGCAGCCCGGGAAGCCGGCCCCGGTGAGGGGATAGCGCCCTGGGATCCAGCTGCTGGCCAGCCACACCTGCACCCACCTCCCCCGGGCCGGACACACAGGAGAATATTGCACGTGGAGGTGCAAATCGTAGCTGCCTTAACATCAAGACGGAGGCTCTGTTTTCCCCCAACAGGCCAGCAGGAGCAGCTCTCGCCCAAGGGAAGGAGCAGCCACAGCTGGGTCTCACTGGTGCTGGTACCGCTCCCACTTCTCCAATAAGCCCAAAGCTATCGCCAATGACAGTAGGGGAGAAGGGCTCAGTGAGGTGGTGGTGGCGGATGTGACTCAGCCAGTCTGAGGAGTCTCTATTTATAACCCCAGTTTGTTCTCACATCAAGGCAGGCAGACA